ATTCTATTCTATTCTATTCTATTCTATTCTATTCTATTCTATTCTATAACTCTCTAGCTTAGATTTACATCTTTCCTGCAAAAGACAAATGTCTTTCTGGCAACAAGTGAAAGGTTAAGGAAATCTTGTTTACAAAAGCAAGATAAGAAATGCCTGTAGAGTGATAAATGCTTAACCGAAATGCTTCTACATATACAAGAAAACGAACGCCTATAGAGTAGCTCTCCACTTAAGGCTATAATATATTTTACTACATTTCTTTATTTATGATTGCTATTCCCTTCACTCAGACAGAAACATGTCGCAAGTTCAGAGCAGAGCAGAGCTCCAGTCTTCGACAAGCAAGCAAGCTAGTTTCTCTTTCACTTTAGTTCAGCAGGCAAGCAGAGGAGAGAAACAATTTCATCTTCAATAGACAGACTCCGAGCTCAACATCGCTGCAGAGTTGCAGCGCTTCATATAGAGCCACGCCTAGGCTAATTCTAGTTTCAATTTCCAAACAGTCCTCATTGGCTGACTTAGTTGCTATGCCTATTCGTTGGCTGACCTTGTGACCAAGCTCTGTTCCAGTTCATGGATATACTCTGACAGCTCTTCAGTGGGGAATGGAAGCAGAGGTGGGTCTTCAGCCGGTTCTGACCAGTTCTGGAGAACCGGTATCAGAAATTTTGAGTAGTTCAGAGAACCGGCAAATCCCACCTCTGACCGGAGATTTTATAGTATCCTTCCCCTGCCACGCCCACCAAGCCACACCCACAGGACAGGTAGTAAAAAAAGAAAATTAAATCCCACCACTGAATGGAAGGGTTTATATTCCTTGAAGACAGCTGGTCATTTGTATTCTTTTAGAGCAGGGGTCTTCCAACTTGACAGCTTTAAGATTGGTGGACTTCAACTCCCAGAATTCCTCCTCCTCCTCCAGTCATGTTAGCTCCAGGAATTCTGGGAGTTGAAGTGCACCAGTCTTAAACTTGCCAAGTGCGAAGACCCTTGTTTTATTTAGAGGGTCCTTGAGGCCACTTGGAGGTTTATCCATGTCCTCCTTTTAGAGATAACAATTTGGGATGGACACCCTTGGAATGGATTTCCAGAGGGGGGAAAAAATCGCAGACTACAGGAACCATTTGCACCACCCAGGTGACCCTGAGTCCTCCAAGTGGCCTCAAGGACCCTCTCAAAGGATGCAAATGACCAGCTGCCTGCAAGGAGTATCAATCCTTCCATTCCCCACCATCCAATCAGAGCTGAAGAAGCTTCTGGGATGAGAAGCGAAACATCTTCAGAGAAAAAATACTGAAAGTCCAGTTTGCCTCTTGGAAGACAAAAAAATAAAAGCACTTTTGGGACCTGGATGAGTGAGAATCTCTACGGACCGTGGAGGATGTGTGTTGGGTGTCACAACTGGAGTTGAAGTCCATAAGTCTCAGTGTTGCTAAGTTTGGAGGCTCCTGGCTTGTCCTGGGAGTTGGAATTAAATTTCCCCTTCATGTGGGCAAAGCAGACAGGATGGTTAGATCCCTTAGCTTCGTTTTTTCCAGAAACACAATCCATTGTGAGTCGTCCCCCACCCGAAACGCACCTGGTGAAACCTCAGTGTCATTTCCTTCTACTTTCCAACCTTTTCGATTCGATCCTAAGCCTTTCTCGCCAGCCTCTCTGCCAGCTTCCCCAAAGCCGGTGCCCTCCAGCAGCTCCTTCGCATCCGAAGCCTCCCAAGCTGGCAGGCAAAAAAAATAAAATAAAAATAAAATTATGCTGGCATCTGGGGAGCGGTGGGGGTGTGTGTGTCGTGGCAAGCTTTGCATCCTTCAGGGGGCTGGTTGCTAAGCTGCCCTGCAGAAATAGTTAGCACTTGAAAAAGCTCAGCCCGGATATGCCAATCCAGCCCCCTTACGTAGGAATGCTTGCAAAATGAGGGTGGTGGTGGTGTTTTTTTTTTAAAAAATATTATTTTTAAAACCGCATGAATTACAGGGGCGTCTTGTCTGAGACATTTTGCACACGCGTTCCCAGACTTCATCTACTTTTTTCCCTTCTCATCTCTTTGGTAACGGTTGGCCTCGCTCTTCCCCCCCCCACAGTCCATCCGCTCCCTTCTCTGCCCGTTGGGTCCCAATTGGCTGATAAGAGAGCAGGCAGAGAAGCCCCCCCAACCTTAGGAAATCAGACGTCTGACGTTCCGCCGAGGTGCTGGGGACCCCGCTTTGATTTTGCTACACGCAGGTTCCCCGTAGCAGCAAAGATGTACCATCTGGAGCAACCTCGGAGTTTCGGGCAGTTCTTATCCTCTTTGTTGACTTGTGTTGTGGAGAATAGCATAGGAATAGGAATAGGAATAAGAATAAGAATAAGAATAAGAATAGAATAGAATAGAATAGAATAGAATAGAATAGAATAGAATAGGAATAGAATAGGAATAGGAATAGGAATAAGAATAGAATAGAATAGAATAGAATAGAATAGAATAGAATAGAATAG